TTAAGCAAGTTCTAAAGCTTGTGAGAGTTAAGCACAGAACACATGTACAAAATCTGTCTCCAGACATTCAAGAAATCAATGACACAAAGCTGAATGCCCAAATGAAGAAAAATCACATATGTTGAATAAGACAATCATTAAGAAGTTAAGGACAAAACTTGATGGAAATCATGCTTGTCTAAAAACTATATTCAAATCCAGCAAAATCATCATTAGTGCAAGAAATTCATCCACAAAACAAGAAAACATAAGAAAATGCAAAATGAAAGTGAAGAAACACAAAGCACAGGTAAAGACAGTAAAACAAAACAAAAGCCACGCAGCAACAAGTCAATTAAGCAATGAAGAACTTCCTTGAGTGGTCAAAGCAGCTGATGTCCTCCTCATCAAAATTACTTCAAGGCGTTGTAACATCCGGTTAAATTAATTGAGATTAATTAATAAAATTTGGTGGTTAGTGTTAATTAATCTGATATTAATGAAAGATTCTCAATTATAATTATCATATAAAAAACCCTTTCCCTTTAAAAATGATTCTTTTGAAATTGACAATGTTGTCCCTCAAACAGTATTAAGTGTTGGTAGCCAATTTTTCAGAATAGAAATAATGAGTCATTCTATACTCTATTCAAATTGGACTTTAAAGTCTAATTATTAAATTTGTACAGAAAACCCTAGCCCATTTTTCTTTTTTTTATTTTATTTTTCCTTCTTTTTCTCGTTTTCTCTCCTATTCTTTCTCTTTCTCTCCCACGTTTACTCTCTCTCTCCACGCCGGCCACCTACCACCGGTGAGATTCCGGTGTTGTTTCGCGATACCGCCTACACCATCAGAAAGCTCTCACCGAGATGGACTCGTTGACATGCCGCACGACCTTCATCTCCGCCGAAAACAGCCGTAGTCGCCGGCAAAATGTCTGAAAACCACTGGAACTTCTTGCCATCGTAACTTTGCCGTCTGACCTCCGATCGGAGTGATTCCAGTCCCTATGGACTTAGATCGATGAGACGAACAAAACCCATGCCATCTCACCCATCGATTCTCGCTAGAGCACCGTCCCAGGAGCTGCCCATTTCGGCCGCCGCGCCTCCTCTCTGTTGTGCCCTATTCCAGCATCCGTTTTTGACACCGTCAATGCTGTTGGACTCAGTGGATGACGTAGAGCAAGAAGCTACCCTTAGCAGCCCGAATCTGCCACCGTTTGCCTGAGATCGGAGCTCGTCTCCGCCGCCGTTTAGGTGGAGGGTGGTTCCGATGATCCAACCGTTAAATCATTGTGATTTTTATGTCTAAATGCTCATAGGATCACGGGTAATGAAAGCCCTCAGCCAATTTTGAGGTTCCATTGCTGGAGAATCGGGAACCAACTCACCGGATTTTGCCGACATTTTTGGGTTTGATCGGAGTAGATAGAGGCCGAATTTGATGAAATTGACGGCACTGAACTCAGAATGGTTGATTTAGGGAGGGGGTAGGACCCAAGTCCGCCACAAAAATATGCTCCGGCAACTTCCGCCGCCGCCGGTGGCCGGATCCGGTGAGTCTCAGTACTGGAGGTTCCCTATGTTCGATTGAAGATCTAAGACCATATCTTGACTCGTTTCGATGTGTTGAATGCAACGGTGACCTCTGTCTATGCTAATTTGACTCCATTGAAAAGTTTACCGAACTGTGCACACAGTTCAAGGCAAATCAAGTTGAGGTTCAGAGCGAGCCATGGAGCTTTAAGAATAGGTTGTTGGACAACGTGAAGTTATTCGTAGATTAAATTGCGAAGAGGTAGGACATTCTTGTCTATATCCTTGTTAGACTTACTTTAAATGATTTTGGTCAATGAAAATATTTTAAAACAAAACATGTTGAAAGAAAATGATTTTAAAGGAATAGCATGAATAATGTTATTAACTTTCCAATGACTTTTGGAAATGAGATTTTTAAAAGTATCATTTCTTAAAATGAAATATTTTAAAAAATGATAAAACGCGGTGTGGCCTCAGAGATCGGATATGGGAATTGTATCCTTGGGGGCAGGACCCGAAACTCGTACGGATCCACTTCTTGCTCAGTGGTGTTATGGCTCTGCACATTTTCATTATACAGACATTTTACCACTTCTTACTCAGTGGTGTTATGGCTCTGCACATTTTCATTATACAAACATTTTACCACTTCTTGCTCAGTGGTGTATGGCTTTGCACATTTTCATTATACTGATATTTTGCTACTACTATGTGAGTATTTTTTTTTATAAAATTGTATGATCAGTTTCGGGTGTATATCTTCGGACCGTGAGTACCTTTATTTACAATGTTTTATAAAATTATATGATCGGTTCCGGGTGTATGTCTTCGGACCGTGAGTACTTTTCTTTATAATCTTTTATAAAATTATATCATAATGGGCATTCCGCTCACTTTTATTATGTTTTCAATGTTTTAAATCCATCCTCCAAAGTTAGCAGTTTAGATTTACAACGTGACAAGTGGATGCCAATGGATTGAAGGCGCGAGATTCGAATCGGTACGTTTATTTCGGATTTACAATTTTAATTCTGAGATGTACTATATTTTTGTATGTAAATTGTATTGGTTGACATTGTCCCAGAGTTGTACTATTTTCCTTGGACTTTATGGACTGTTTTAAATATTATTTGTGAAAAAAGGTCTCCAGAGCAAACTATATTGATATTTATGTATTTATTTTTGTGATTTTGTTAAACAGTCCAGTTTAATTAAGTTAAATTTTAAATTAAACTCCAATAATCACGGTCCTTTCCTTCAGGTCGTGATAGGTGCTACGCAACCTCAATCGTCGAGATGATGGCTCCAGAGTGACTGATTTCCATTTGTCTGTTCTCCTCACAGAGGCAACAACTTTCAGTTCTTGCGGCTCTAGCGGTGCTGAACTGGGAGGTCAGCTGCAACGTCTTCCTCATCGCAAGGCTCATCATCATCGGAGGATGAGTCACACAAATATTGGGGGAACTCCGAAAATGAGTGGAATCTGTCGGAGTTGGCTCTATAATACTTTTGAAGAGCCAAGTCTTTATGCTTCTCATATTTCTAAAAATCACGCATCATCTGCTAGGAATCATATTGCAGCACCTCTATGTGACTCATTCTTTACTCCAAGCGGCGGAAACCCTTTGCCAAATCATTGTTAGGATGCTCGGGAGCTAGAGTGTTCGGTGCGGCAGGTGCAGGTGCTTCGCGCGCTTCCGCCTCAAGTAGCATATCATCCTGTAAGAGCCTGGTGTTGGCAGGGAGTGTGATAGGCGTTGGAGGCTGCTCTTTTAGCTCGTAGTCTTCAATAACAACACCATGTGCTTTGCACAACTGTGTGATAAGAGAAGGAAACCAAAGCCCACCATTGTTCCGCCCTGCACGCACAACAATTTGTTGCTGGATGAGTTTACCCACATTAAGCCTTATGCCCTCAACAATGCTATAAAGAAGGATAACCCTCTCTCTGTGCACCACATGATCAGGTGACTAGGGCATCAGTCGGAACTTTAAGAAATGGTACTAAATTTTTGGTCCTGGCTTGAGTAGCCTCCTAAGGAATGTCCTAGAACCTCGGCTTGCGTTTGTCCATTCAGCTCCATCCACACACAGTGTATGAAGGATTTCATCGAGCTGCTCATCATCCATCCCCTCAGCGAATTCCTAGAAGTGATCTCCAATGTCTGGCAGATTGTAGACTTTGTTAATTTCTACGGATGTGAGTGGGATCTAGTGTCTCACAAAGACTGATTCTGGTTTGGCTACGTTGTAGTTCGCGTAAAATTCACGCACCAATTGAATCACTGTAGCATGCTGATGGTAGCAGAAAGTTTTCCATTCATGATCCTCTATGACTGTATGAACGAAATCTGGGTAACCTAAGGTTTTGCTCTGCTTGTAGACATACCCATTCTCCATATGTAGAGCTCGTAAGTTTGTGCATGTAGTAAACCTGTTTAATGCTTTGACAAGACAAATCGCTCTATTTCTTGAACTGGAGGCTCAAGTTCAGTTGCAGAACTCGCTGCTTCTGCCGTAACAGGCTCAGCTCTTCCCTTTTGCGCCTTACTTTTGAAAGTCATTCTGAAATCCAATCAAGAAATCCCCACAATTGGTTATCAAAAATATCAGTTTGTTCCTCTCCTTGAACTTTCTTTTCTCTGAAACACAAAAGCTCATTCACATCTCTTTTTCACTGCCCCTCACCCACTCTCAGTTTCAAGGAAACCCACAAAGAAATAGTTTCTACACAATGCCCTTCCTCTACCACGTAAATCACAATATTTGCAAGAGAAAGCAACACCCAACAAGAATGCAAAACATATAGGAGAGAGGCACAAACCCAGTGAGAATTCCCTTACGTGGCGGTTGAAATGTCTTCCCCCAAACTGACACCTCTAGGGCCGATGCTTGAATGAATATGAGTGCAAATGATTATTCCCAAGTGTGGCTGTGTGGGTTGAATGGGAGATGCCCAAGAGAAACAACTTGGAGGTAATGGGATGATAGGGGAGGAAGTGGAACGGCGGAGGCTGTTCAATAAGGCACTAGAAACCGAATGAGAAAGCAACTAGGGCAAGGAGGAATGTAAGGGCAAATGAACGGTGGATTTGAGGCCTTCTAACTCACTAAGGACACTTGGTTGCGTGGGCTTAAAACACGGGATTTTTTTTAACGCTGAACAGGAATTTCTTTTAAAAACCCGCTGCCCAAAATGCCACTTAAAATGATGCCGCATAGTCATAGCATTCTGGGCAACTGACTATCATCTTGAATTTTTCACGCCCCATGCTCTGCTTCTTGACTTCTTCTCAACGTTGTTTTTCTCTACATAAGATTTAATTTTAAAATTAATTCTAACCGCTAAATAACCACACACAAAAGCTAAAATGCAAAGGTAACACAGCAAAATAAAAACAAATACATATCAAAATAATTCTTTGGTTGCCTCCCAAAAGCGCTTATTTTTGGGTCATCAGCATGACTACTTCCTTGTTTTAAGTCTCTTGCAAGATGATAGAAGTCTTGTAGGGATCCACAAGACCTCCCCAAAAGTGTTTGATCCGTTGGCCATTCACCAAAAATTTCCTTCCAGAGTTGTTTTCTTGCAGCTCCACCGCTCCATGGGGAAAAACCGTGGATACCATGAATGGACTTGACCACCTAGATTTCAGCTTTCTAGGGAAGAGCTTCAGTCTTGAGTTAAACAAGAGAACTTGTTGCCCTAGTTCAAACGTTCTGCTCAATATTCTCTTATCATGCCACCGTTTAACCATCTCTTTGTAGAGCTTTATATTCTCATATGCTTGAAGCCAAAATTCATCTAATTCATTAAGCTGCAAAAGCCTTTTTTTGCCAGCCGCCCCCATGTCCAAATTCAATTGCTTAAGTGGCCAGTATGCCTTATGCTCTAGTTCTAGAGGCAAATGGCATGCTTTGCCAAACACAAATTGGTATGGTGGCATCCCAATTGGTGTCTTGAACGCTGTTCTGTAGGCCCAAAGCGTATCATCAAGTCTTTTGGACTAATCTTTCCTTGTGGGACAAACGGTTTTCTCTAAAATTGTCTTGACTTCTCTGTTGGAGACCTCTACTTACCCATTGGATCGTGGGTGGTAGCTCGTGGCAATCTTGTGTCTCACACCATATTGAGCAAGAAGGGTAGCAAAATACTTGTTGCAAAACTGTGTCCCTTCATCGCTGATTATTGCTCTTGGTGTGTCAAATCTTGTAAAGATTTGCTTCCTCATGAAGTTCATCACCACTTTTGAGTCATTTGTGGGAAATGCAGCCGCTTCTACCCCTTTTGACACATAATCAACAGCCACAAGGATGTACAGATTCTCATAGGATGCTATGAAGGGTCTCATAAAATCAATCCCCCATACATCGAACAACTCCACCTCTAGAATGTTGGTTAGGGGCATCTCATAATGTCGAGATATATTACCTACCCTTTGACAACGATCACATGTGGCTATAAATTTATGGGCATCCTTAAATAGGCTAGGCCAATAAAAGCCAGATTGTAAAATCTTCGATGTTGTACGATCTCCCTTGAAATGCCCACCATAAGGACAAGAGTGACATTGCCTCAGAATTTCTTCAATTTCAACTTCTGGGATACATCTTCAAATAATATGATCACTACACCGCTTAAACAGAAACGGCTCATCCCAAATATAGGCTTTGATGTCATGTAGAAACTTCTTCTTCTGCGAGTATTTCAAGTCCGGAGGCAGCATCACACTCAACAAGTAATTGACAAAATCAGCATACTGCAACAATTGAGATTGGACAACTGTAAACAATTGCTCATCAGGAAAAACTTCATTAATGATCACAGAATCTCCACCCACATCCGACCTCTCCAACCGAGACAGGTGATCAGCCACCTGGTTCTCTATCCCTGATTTCTAAGCAAATTCTTGTAAAAGGAGCACCCATTTGATTAATCGTGGCTTGGCATCCTTCTTCTCCACAAGGTACTTGATGGCTGAATGATCTGTGTAGACTCTGACTTTAGTCACCACCAAGTAGGCTCTGAACTTATCAAAAGCAAATACTACTGCAAGCAGTTCCTTCTCTGTCACTGTATAGTTCAATTGAGCCCCTGAAAGTGTCTTACTAGCATAGTAGATGGAGTGAAATACTTTGTTCTTTCGATGCCCCAAAACAGCTCCCACAGCCCAGTCACTTGCATCGCACATGACTTCAAACGATAGGGACCAATCCGATGCCACAATGATCGGTGTTGAGATAAGCCATTTTTCAAGCTCCATAAACGCTGCCATACATGCCTCATCAAAATTGAATTGGTTGTCCTTCTCCAATAAGCTGCACAGAGGCTTAGAAATTTAAGATAAGTCCTTAATAAATCTTCTATAGAACCCTGCATGACCAAGAAAGCTCCTGAGCCATTTTACATTTGCTGGAGGCGGTAGTTTCTCTATTATGGCGATCTTTGCTTTATCAACTTCAAGCCCCATCTTGGAAACCTTGTGTCCCAGCACTATCCCTTTTACCATGAAGTGGCATTTTTTCCAGTTGAGGACCAAGTTAGTCTCTTCACACCATTTCAGCACCTTTGCCAAGTTGGTAAGATAGCCTTCATATGTTTCCCCAAAGACTGAGAAATCATCCATAAAAACCTCTACAAACTGCTCTACCATGTCGGTAAAGATAGGCATCATGCATCAACGAAAGGTGGCTCGAGCATTACAAAGTCCAAAAGGCATCCTTTTGAATGCAAATATGCCATATGGATAAGTGAATGTAGTCTTGTGAAGATCCTCTGGAGCGATGGCAATCTGGTTGTATCCGGAATACCTATCCAAGAAGCAGTAATACTCCTTCCCTACCAATCTATCCAACATTTGATCAATAAAGGGGAGAGGGAAATAATCCTTTCTAGTGGTCTTATTGAGCTTCTTATAGTCCATGCATATCCTCCAGCCTATTACTGTTTTGGTAGGGATTAACTAATTGTTTTCATTCTCTACAACAATAATCCCCCTTTCTTTGGGACACACTAGACCGGACTCACCTATGCACTGTCAGAGATTGGATAAATTATCCCAGCGTCCAGCCACTTGATTACCTCCTTTTTTGACTACTTCTTTCATGATCAGATTCATCCTTCTTTGTCCCTCTATAGACCCTTTTTTGGTCATCTTCCAAGAGAATCTTGTGCATGCAAAATGAGGGACTTATACACTTTATGTCTGCTATTGTCCACCCAATGGGTCCTCGGTATTCTCTTAAAATAGTAAGCAAACTCTCCTCCTATCCTTTTGTCAACTCAGCAGAAATGATCAAAGGGAGAGTTGAGGATTTCTCCAAATAAGCATACCTCAAATGAGAAGGTAAGGGCTTTAATTCCATGGCTGATGGTTCTTCACTTGATGACTTTGTTGGTTTGTGCTCACGGTCGGTCAAATCCAATGGCTCGAACTTCCTCATAGATCCTTGCACTCTTAGTTTGGCATCTATCCAAACTAACTGCTCCCTAGTTTCATCTTCAGCCCCATCCGAATCTGATGACCAAGACGACTACAACAAGTCCTTATGGCTACTACTCTCAAGCTCTTCAGCCACCAAAGATTCAATAAATGATATCGCAGAACACTCCTCCACCTCAGTTGGAAACTTCATTGCCTTAAATACATTAAATGTCACCTACTCATCTTGCACTCGCATGGTTAGCTCACCTTTTTGTACATCAATTAGGGTGCGCCCTGTTGTAAGAAATAACCTTCTCAAAATTATAGGCACTTATCTATCCGCTTCATAGTTAAGAATTATAAATCTGCCGGAAAAATAAACTTATCCACCTTCACAAGGACATCCTCAATCTTTCCTTCAGGAAGTGCAATAGATCTGTCCGCAAGCTACAAAGACATTGTGGTAGGCCTTGCTTCTCTGATTCCCAACTTCTTGAAAATGGACATCGGCATCAAATTTATACTAGCTCCCAAATCGCACAATGCCTTACCAAAATATTGGCATCCAATGGAGCACGGGATAGTGAAACTTCTTGGATCCTTTCGCTTGGGCGGGAGTTTGTTTTACAAAATTACACTGCATTCTTCAGTCAAGGCCATCGTTTCAAACTCCCTAAGCCTGTGCTTTTTAGTAACTAAGTCATTCATGAACTTAGCATAGTTGGGCATTTGTTCTAAGGCTTCCACCAGATGTATGTTTATGTGGAGTTGCTTCAGAACGTCTAGAAATTTGAAAAACTGTCCCTCCTATTGATGTCTTTGAAAATGCTGAGGAAATGGTAGAGGTGGTCTGTTGTTACTGTTTTCTGCCGCTCCAGAATGCTGTGGAAATGTTGTTACTTTCTGCAGTTCAGAATCTGCTTGTTGATTCCTCAATTGTTCTTCTTGTGGCTAAATTAGATTCTCCTCATCTTAGATTGAAGTGGGCTATGTTTGCACAGCCTGGGGTCTTGTCTTTGGCTCCATCTCTTTTCCACTCCTTAGTGAAATTGCCTTACACTGTTCTTTCCTTTCTCTTCTTGGATCCTTGGTGTTGCTTGGGAGAGAACCTTGAGGTCGGTTGTTCAAAGAATTAGCCATCTTCCCAATCTGGTTTTCTAAGTTCCTCAGTGCTGCATCATGACTCTGGATTTTGGCTTCACTCCACGCTATAAATTCTTTTTAACATATTCTCCAAGGAGCTGGATTGATCTGTAGTTTGAGTTCTCTGTTGTTGATGTGGATACCCTGGTGGATATGCAGTTCTGTGACAAGTATTGGCTCCACTAGAACTTGCTCATTGATTACTACATGCCAAATTTGGATGTTGCCCTAACCCTTGATTGTGAAAGTTTGGATAAGAATTAATGTTCCTGTTGAAGTTGGCCACATAGCAAGCATAGGCTAGATTGGATGGGAAATCTTCATACAAATGCCCCTCCCCACAGTAAACACAAGAGATTCCAGCAGTTTGCACTAAATTTACACATTTCAGCATGTTCATTGTTTTTAGCATATTCGTCAAGGATGACACTTAAGCTGACAGTGCTGTGATGGCATCAACTTTATGAATTCCGGCTGCCTTCCTAGCATTGAGTCTCTTGGTTGGCCATTGATAATTGTTATTGGCCATCCTCTCCAAGACCTCGTAAGCTTCATTATAAGACTTGGCCAAAATAGCTTCATTAGCTGCGGCATCAATTATGGTGCGTGTTTGCCCATTGAGCCCATTATCAAATGTCTCAATTTGAATCCAATAGGGGATCCCATGATGAGGGCACTTCCACAATAGCTCTTTGAATCTCTCCCATGTTTCATACAATGATTCCTCATCTGCTTGTTGGAATGAGGTAATATCATTTCTGAGCTTGGCATTCTTGGTTGGAGGGAAGTATTTCATGAGGAACTTCTTTGCCAAATTGTTCCATGTTACCACTGAATCCGGTGGCAAGGAATTCAACCATGCTCTAGCTCTATCCCTCAAGGAATAAGGGAATAATTTCAGCCTCAAAGCTTCCTCTGTCACTCCCGGTAGCTTAAAGGTGTCACTCACTTCTATAAACAATCTAAGATGAAGATGAGGATCTTCAGTTCGCATCCCACTAAACTGCCCCACGGTTTGGTGCATTTGGAACATCACTGGCTTAAGCTCAAACTGAGGCGCCTGAATCTCTGGCCTCACTATTCTGGGGTTAAGTCCATGTAACATAGGCACAACATACTCACGAATAGCTCTATCTCTGTCATCGGCTACAACAGGGGGAGCCATATTTAAGTTGACCAGATTGTTCCCATTGACATTCTGCCCATTGTTCCCAACTGCCCCTTCTGCCATTTCTTCCACTAGTGCTAAACCTTGCTGCTCCCTCCTCCTAGCTCGGAATATTCTTTCAATTTCTGGATCTAAGGGCAACAATTCCAAGTCTCGATGTAGATTCATGCAAAAGGGTTAATAACCTACAAAATTAAAAGCAAAATGAATGAGAGTAAAGCAAACAAACGAAAAATAAATTGACTTCTACAAATACTTTCAATGATTTCAATCCATGGCAACGGCGCCAAAAACTTGCTGCGTAATTTGTGCTTGCAAGTGCACGTGTCGCAGTCAAGTAATAAAGTGTACAAAGTACGAATATCATCCCACAGAGAATGAATCATCAATTCTACATGCAGAAATCAACTAGTTTACCTGTTTTAAATGATAAAAACTAACTCTTTAGAAATTACTCAATTGTTATAAATGTAGAAATGTAAAATAAAATGTAAGAAAAGATTAACCAGAAGATCAAGAATGCTAAAATGGAGTGTATGCAGTGATGTAAATCAGCTAGACCTACTAATTTCTCCTTAGTTGCAAGTCTGATAACAAATGTTGCAGGAATGTTATAGCATAAATGTCATGTTAACAGAAACTCGTTTGTTGTGCATAAGATTCTCTCGAAGTCATTATGTCTAAGGATTCTTCAACCATTTGTAGCATATTCCTATGTGAATCTAGTTTCAGAATGCAAATTAAGCTCGGATTTCTATATGTTATGCAAGATGAACAATAAATTCCTATATCATTCACAAATCAATAAACTCAAATAAAAATATTGAACTTGCATCATTTATGTTAGATCCAACTAAAATTAACCTTCCAGTACTAATCTTAGTCTTGTATTTTATGGTTGATGGCCAGTCAAAAACATAAATAAGTATTAAGCATACATAGATGAACATGAAGTAGAATTAATCAACATTCCTTAAGCAACCATCATCTTTACGACCTCGGTTCCATTAGCAGATCTAGCTTAACAAATTAGTTCATAATGGTAATTACAAGAACCAGATTTTCAGAATAATCCATGTCTTAATCAATATTAAAAATAACAAAAGAATCAAACTAACAAAGAGAAGAAAAATTGAGGAGCTGGATCTTGAATCTTCTGAAATTTCTCCTTGTCCTTCTCTTTGGATCCTCCTCTCAGCAACTCTCTCCCTTGATCTTTTTTCTTTCTTTTTCTCACGTCTCTGATACTTATTTTTTTTTTGGGTAAGGTACTGTACTCCTCTATTTCCTTCTATTTTCTCCTCTTGTACTTGGCGGCTACCTACCTCTCTCAGAAAATACTTCCTTCTTAGGGTAACAAAAGGGCTGAGGTGTCATTTGATAAGGGTTGCAGTGGTCCACACTATTGTACAACTCAATTAACTCACATGGGTTTTTATCCTTTTTCCTCCAGATAGTGCACTGATGCCATCCCACTTGCTAGCTACACCCAGAATACTGTAGTAGAATGCTATTGCTTTCACCCTGCAATTTGCCAAACTAAAACTTAGATATACTTCAGCCTCTTTTGACTCAATTTACTACTTCTTAACCCAAAAACAGCGCAAGTACAAAATTTAGCAAGATAAAATGTAAAACCAGAAAATCTAAGGTAAAACACAAAAGAAAATAATGAAATACACTCTTGGCTAAGCAAACTTTAAGTTGAAAATGCATAAAATAACTCTGAGTCTGTGTTTAGTTGGAGGGAATGGAATGAAAAGGAAAAGCCATTCAACCTAATTTCATTGTTTGGTTTCATTTTTTGGGTTAGAAAGGGCTTTCCGTAGGAAAGCTCATTCACTCATTTTGAGTGAATTGCCATTCACGTGGGGGGTTGTGGAATTGCTTTTCCATTCAGCCCTGATTTACGTTTTCTCCAAAAACTCCCTGATGCCCTAGCCCCCATTTCTTGCTCGACCACCGAGCTCCAGCCATTGACCATCGACGCCATGGTTTCGAAGCTACCGAACCAACTCCGAGCTCTCTACGCATCCACCACCCGTCACCGGCTTCTCTCTCCTCGATTCCCGAACCCTAACGAAGCTTTCTGAGACCTCTTCTCGGTTCCAATGGCAGACTCTTCTCGGACGCCCCATCTCCTCCCCAAGTTTATTTTTCTCCGTCGATTCCGGTTCCTCCGCCTTCTGGTCCAAACACTTCGGCTCCGTCGTCGTTGAATCAGAAAGAGCTAGCTAAGTTCTTAGCCATTGTCGAAACCTGGTGAGCTCGCTGTTCTCTGTTTGATTTGGAAATTGGAATTTCAATGAACTATTGAGAAGATTCTTAAAAATTAACATTTTTTTTTGTATTTGTATTTTCGTGGTTAATTAGGTGGGATTCTGAGGGTCCGTTTAGACCATTGCATGCCATGAATCCTACGAGACTCGCTTTCATAAGCTCCACGCTTTGCCAGCATTTCGGGTATAGAATTGGTTTTTTTTTTTTTAATGAAGATGAGTTCGTGCACTGGAAATTTGGTTTCTTTTTGTGATATTCGATTCATTGCTTCAGGAGGGATCCATGTTCTCCTAGGCCTTTCGAAGGACTGAAATTTGTTGATGTTGGTTGTGGTGGTGGGATTCTTTCAGAGGTATATTTTTAGGAAATAATAACGAAATGCTGTATTTCCCTTTATATATATATATATATATAAATATATATGTATATACGTAAATATATATTTATGTACGTATTTATATATGCTGTGCTTGTCCTTATGTTTCACAAATCGTAGTTAAGTTGGCCTTGTAATTATTGGTAAGGAAGTTTGAGTCTTGATTTGTTGATGTTGGTTGTGGTGGTGGAATTCTTTCAGAGGTATATTTTTAGGAAATAATAACGAAATGCTGTATTTCACTTTTATATATATATATATATGTATATACGTAAATATATATTTATGTATGTATTTATATATGCTGTGCTTGTCCTTATGTTTCACAAATCGTGTTAAAACCTTCTCAGAGAGGAGATTTTTAACACGATCTGTAAAGACGTAGGTTATGATATTAACACGGTTTATAAAACCTTAACATGATTTGTAAAACATAGGGTATATGTTGTAGCATTCCTAAAAATGGAATGTAATATTTCGATAAAACACAGGGAATGTGTTTGTTATTAAGCCTATTTTCAGTCCTATTCCTGCCATATTCTCTTTAGAATTTGTTTGTGCGGAGTTATTTTTGTAGCTTACCATTTTTCAGATTGTTTCTAGGAATAAAAAATCTTTATCAAGTAGCTATGTATGTCAATCCTTGATTCTACGTGCAATGATGTTCAATATGAATACTGTTTCAAGTGTTTATGATGGAAATCAAAGACAGACTTGACGGGTGAAAAAGAAAAAAAGCATACGAAGAATTCATATGAAATTTGTATCTATATTAATATGGAGTTTAATTTTACAGCTTCCCAAAGGTACGCATCAGTGATCAAGTTTTCTAACTTCTGAAGAACTGGTCTTGATCTTCTGAAGACAGGAAGATGGTCTCTTTCTGATGACATCAGTGTAAATTTCATTGCATATGGTACAAAAACAACCTCCGAATAAATATCTGAAGAATTTTGATATTTCATTGTATTAACTAGGAACTTGCTTCACTTGGCATATGACTATATTATTGACACGGGCCAAAGTTATATTTTTCAGGAACATATCATGGTAGATGTTAGAAGTTATCATATTTGAGTTTGTGATAATATATTATTACATAAAAATATCAAATATTATTTTTTTACAATTGAAATATAGGTTTTAAATTATTATCCTTCAAATAAAAAGTTTTTTTCAATAATTAAATTATTTTTTTACTATTTTAATTAATTAAAATATTAAATTATTTGGGATTATTAATTAAGGATATTTTTGTCAAAATACAGTTTATTTTCATTTCATTTCGTTGTCAACCAAACAACATAATTCTCATTTAGGTATTAATTCTATAACTTCAATCAAACAAAAAAAATCAGTTTATGATTCTAGCACATTCTAATTCTATTCTATTACTATTCTTATTACTATTTTTATTATCATTCCGTCAACGCACCCTAATTTCTTAAGAGTTATCAAGGACAAAGTATTTTCATTTGATGTCAATACTAATTAGAGAGATCCCAATAACACGTCTCATGCCGTAAAGGTTGAAACTTGAAAATCAACCAACAATATTATGCCTTACGAATGAAGAGATTCCTTTGGGAAGAAATTGAATTAATTTCAGGGAAACCCAAATTTGAAAAAGAACGCCACAAAACTTGGTGGTTTGGCATGGGCAATTCAATTACAACTCATCCGAGATCTCAAATCAATAAAATAATAATAATAATAATAATAATAATACTGTTCATGAATCTCACATCAAAAACAAATGACCACTTTATGTCATATAAATAAAGAGAGCTTTCATAGACTTGAAGCAATTTATAAAAGTTAGCTAATCTTCATCAACAAGGTATTTAAAGAGTATAAAAGTGTATTTTTAACATGATTGGTGAGTACGAGTATAATAGTTGCGGAATAGAAATCCTCCGCTTATAACTCCTAATATATCAAACTCCTGCTTTTAACTCGTGGTACATTGATTACTTTGGGAAATAGAAATCCTCTGCGTGTAACTCCTAATACATCAAACTCCGCTTATAACTCCTAATACACCGGGTTGTATTGTTGAACAAGTACAAATAACTATTGCTATAATTTGACCCTCCAACAAAACTTTGTCCATACACCACATTTCGCAATAGCATTTTGTAGAATAACTCCTTCCATTTCGTTCCAAGAATTGTCTCTTGACTTTCAAAAACTGATCGATGCTCATTTTGAAATCCACATACTAGATTTTGATAAGAGTAGGCTCCAGTGTTAGTGTTCAGTTAAAGAAGTAGAACATGCTGTTTTGTAATAGGATTGAATAAAATGTATTGTCCTGAGTCATTTGTACATCTTTGTTACAATTCTTACTTTGGGTTTTAGCATTATTAATCTAGTTGTATATGAGATCAGCAAAAAAAGAAAAAAAAAGATCTAGTTGTATATGAATAAGCTTATGAAATACCTATTTGCCTTTAATGATTCCGTTACTTAAACCTTAATTATTGGCGCCTCTGCATGTAAAGAGAAAAACAAAGAATTATCTTAAGGTGTGACGAGTGGAATGAGAGGTTTCCTTAATAGAGTAGGAGAAATGGTTTGATCAGACGCTAATAAAGTTACAAAAATGGTTTCGTCATCCCAAGGATAAAACCCCATCACCCACAAAATGAGATAGATCTCATGTAATTACGTTTGGTTCATGGATTAGAATCATGAAATTATAACCATTTTCGATTTACGTGAATTTTTTGTGAGAGAACACTGTAACGAACCACGAACCATGATTCGAATCGGGATACGAATCCTCCAACTAAACAACTCTACAAGACTCACCTCATATAAGTAGCGGGGCTTTAACTCATAAAGATGAATAGGAGTGCTCATAAAGTTCAGCTCAAATGCAGCCAAATATTTACAAAGAAATCCTTTACGCTCAAGTAGAAGTTACATCCTGTGGTACAACTTTAGAAACAGAACATTCAAAGCGTGATAATAGTTTAACATTGTCGGTTCCTTCTGATTAAAGACTACAACATAAACAACATGGATAATGATTTTCACATCCACCCTTTGAATTTTCATATTAGTCATTTCGCAGTTCCTCTATCTAGGAGTACGTGAAATCAACAATCATCAGAATTGCCCAATACATCTTAACAAATCTCCTATAGCTGGATACTTTCTTCCCCTTTGATAAACTATTCAACAAAATGGAGTTCAATCATGTGCCTTCTATAGAGTTAAATCATTTAACTCCACATTTTTTTATGAACAACTAGTCATAATTTTTCATTTCATACAAATCAACAAGGATTCTCATTCTGATAAGTCATAAGTTAGGAGAAGATCCAAAATTCAAATGATTAAATTGAGAACAACTCTTCTAGAAGAGACTCTAGTTTGAGATTTGACTGTAATTTACCTCAACTTGAAACTTTTTTTTCCTCCTTTTGTTCTTCCATTGGCCAGCTTGTTTTTGGACAAGAGAAAGATGCTTGAGCTAGAAGAGATAAATTCATTGATCAGATGGGCTCTAATGTTGTTCTATTTCGAATGTCAACCCAATCATACAAGGGAAAAAAAAGAAATCAACCGCTGAATCTTCATATTCTCAGCACCATTTGATTAACAAAGTTCAAGTCACCGAAAACAATATCTTACATTGCAAATAACTTATTAGATTTGCAAATCCCAGCAGCAATATCTTCAAAAATAGTGTTCCAAAGACAGGTAACAAGTGAAAAAAAACAGTTCTATACGACTAAAATTACATTCCCTTTCCCTTTTTCCTTCCAAATGAAGTAAGAAGTTTCAGAAGCAAAAAAAAAAAAAAAAGACATTTGACAATATTATAATTGCTAAAAAAAGGAAAACAAAAGTCAGAGGAGAAGATTCATTCAACGCCCAGATGCAGAGTATTACCCAGCATGTTTCTTTGATTTCATTAAAATAAGCAATACAGGATCATAACAGCATTTGACAAACTATATTATAACGAATCTTGTATTCGTTACGTTTGACTAAAACATCATTAACATGTTGTTGCAAGTAATCCCCACAAAAACGATTTCTTTTATACCCCCATGTGTTTTATACTAAACCAAAATAAATCTAAAACCAACGAACGAAGAACAGGTTCTTTATTAGTTTTGCCTATTAGCAATATAATTAGCCAAAGCAATCAAAGGAGCAGCTTTGTGAGCGTCAAACCCGGAGAGTTGTTCTTGTGCTTCTTTGTTCAATTTTGCTGCGAATTCCTTCGATTTTTCGATCCCGATCAGCTTCGGATAGGTTACCTTGTCGGCGACCAAGTCTTTCCCGGCCGTTTTCCCCAATTCCTGAGACGATTTCGTCACGTCCAGGATGTCATCCACGACCTGAAACAGCAGTCCGATGCACCTCGCGAAGCTCCGGAGCTTTTCGACCTCGTCGTCGGTGCCGCCGCCGAGAATCGCTCCGAGAACGACGGAGGCTTCTAGAAGAGCGGCGGTTTTATGGATGTGGATGAATTCCAGCTTCTCGAGTCCGGCGTCGTCGGATCCCTCGGAATCGATGTCGACGACTTGGCCGGCGACGAGGCCTTCGGTGCCGATCGACTTTGCAAGCTCGCCGATCGCGCGGACGATTCTCGAAGGAGTGACTCCAGCGGTGGAGACGGCGATGTGCTCGAAGGCGAAGGCGAGGAGGGCGTCGCCAGCGAGGACGGCGACGTCCTCGCCGAACACCTTGTGGTTCGTCGGCTTGCCGCGGCGGAGATCGTCGTTGTCCATGCAAGGAAGGTCGTCGTGGATGAGCGACATGGTGTGGATCATCTCGACGGCGAGGGCCGCCGGCATGGCAACGGACTCATCTCCGCCGACGAGTTCACAAGCGGTGAGGCAGAGCACCGGGCGGACTCTCTTGCCGCCGGCGAGGAGCGAGTACCTCATAGCCTCGTGGATAGTCTGCGGCTCGCGGAGCGAAACGGCGTCGTCTAGGGCCTGGTTCACAGAATTTGCCTTCTGGATCATGTAGGCCTTGAAATTGAAAGGGGCTTTTTCCTCCTCTAGGGCTTCCGTCACGGTCTCGGTCTCTTGCTGGGTGAGCAGGGCGGAGACGGTGGAGAGAGAAGACGACGGACTCGGACGGTGTCGTTTTGGGATTGAAGAAAGGGGAATTGGGAAATTATTCTTCAGAGGGTGAAACAGATTGTTGAGAGCTGAAGAGGAGGAGAGTCTGGATCTGCCTCCTGCTTGGTTGAACAGAGAACAGGTTTGGACCCATGTACTCAGATTCACACAACTCATTTTTTTTTTCTTTTTTTCTTTTTTTATGGGATTAAAAGAATCTAGAAATAAGGATTTTGATTAGATAAGAAGCTAGAGAAAATTAAATAGGAGTAGAATTTGATGAGAGTGAAGTATTCACAATAATTCTTCGATCTACGGAATTCTTTGGCATTACCAATTTTCTCAAGAGGTTTGTAAGTGAGGGAATGTGAGAGAGAGAAGGAGAGTTTTAATGGAGAAGTGGGTGTGTTTGGGTTTTTAGTGGTGAGAGCAATACCAAGCAAAAGGAAACAAAAGGAAACATAGGACAAGGATAGAATTTTGGATTGAATGAATTGTGTACAACTGGAATCTCCATATCCTCTCCCTCTCTATTATTCTTTCCGGTTTTCACGTGCTATTAATGGGCATTTATGAAGAAGATTATACATGTTAATATGGTTACGTGCCCCTTTTTAGTTTTTATTTTTACGTTCCTTCCTCCACAACACCACTTATGCTGTGGGGCCCTCCTTGAGGTAGAGCATTGCATTAATGCATTGTGATTGGTGGGAGTGAGAATTTGTGTCCTTATATTTTTTTTTTGTGAATTTCGTCTAAAAACTCTTCTCGTAGAAAATCTCCAAGGGTTCAAAGTTTACATTCGTGTTCGAGTGAGTACGGCGACAGACAAGTACTCCAGTCTCACCAAAATTTAAAAATTATTATTATTATATGAAAAGTAAAAAGGGCAATCAAACATGTGTCTTTTCTTTTATCCCTAGTTGTTTGCTTGTGTGACACGGAATATATTGCTTCTCACTTGGTAATTAGTTACGTTTACAATTACATGTTTGAATAATTTATGTTGGAAGGAGGGATGGAAAATAGAAAATAAAAAAGAAGTAACGTATCATTAATAAAAACTTAAAAAAGGAAAGAAGTAAGGAAAGAAAATGTCTATATTAGTTTATTATAGTATTATATTATTATACACAATAAGAAATTAAGAATGTGAGGTATGGTTATGATTAAAATAGTTATTTTATATTATTATTTGTTTCTTAAGTTTTTTTTTCTTGTTTTAGATTTATTTTTTAGAGAGGATTTCAAAAATCTTAACGAAATCCTAATTTGAATTCTCTAACGGTACAATTTAATATTTTCTTTTCTTCTCCAATTTGTAACTCTATTAAACATTGGCTTGAAATTTGATGGATAGAAGTTGAGTTGTTTAAAAATACACCAATTATCATATTAGTTTTTTTCCCCCCCCTTGAATTTTTACTATATTACACATTATTGTGAGCTGATTCTATTTAACATTATTTATATACAACTTTTTTTTTTAAGTTTTATATACAACAGGGCACGTTCTTATAGTACTCCAACTTTTTCATGAGTGGAATCTTTCTATTAATTAAGTTCTTTAGTCGATGTTCGAGTTGGTAGAAGGACAAAGTGGGAAAAGGATAGAAATGAGATGTTAGTGGAAGGATTGTACGACATAAATAATTGATAAAAGGGAATGGAAAATAAAATAAATTGAGTAAGAAATTCAAAATCTGAGAGAAATCTTCAGTTTTAATCTCTTCTAATTTGATGACCGAATGAAATTGATTCCCTTGATTAAACTACAGAATCAAATTATGTATGTTATTATTGTTTGCAAATTAAGGATAAAATGATAATCGGATTACTTCCTTTTCATATCTTATCCATACCAAGTAAAAATTTTCAAAAGAATTTTCTTTTGAGTTATATACATAAACGTGCACTTATAACACCTTGAGTCTAAAATTATCTGTTCTTTTGTTTATTTATAAAACTGTCTACTATTATATATGAAAAGGACATTACGATCCACATATAATGAAATTGGTTGAAATTAATGAAACATCAAAATAGGAAATTTTGAAAATCAAATCATAAAATGAAATTTGAAAAATATAATTAATGAAACTTACCATGCATAACCATACACGAAACAATTTTTCCCTAAAAAACGATTTCCTCTTCTTTTCTTCCTTCGGTCCCAAAAAAACCAACCTTCTGTTGACTGTGAAAATTTGCCAATAGAAATATAACAATTTTCAAAATGATTTGTGCGAATTTAATGATCTAAAACATGATTAAAAGCAATCAAATAATAAGAATATACGAGAATTATAGTGGTTCACCCTTAATTCAAGAGTTATATCCATTGTAGTGATGAGAGAATTCACTTATTTTTCAAAGAGAATTACACACTATAATTGCTCTCAATGAGACCTCAGGATTTCTCGGCCTACAATCCCTCATTTTCATCGTTCCCTATCGTTCCAATTGGTTCCCCTATTTAATTTGGGGATATTTTCCTCATCTTTTAGGATAGTTTCCCAAAATATGAAAATTACAATCAATCATGACAATTACATTGCTTAAATTTCATATATTTGAATCACAAATAGTAAATCCCGGAGCAAATCTCGCATTTCTCTCAACTTGCGTAGACTCGACTTCATAAACACTCTTAGAACCATTTTCGCCTACAATTATTAGTGCAGTCGACCTAATGTTGTTCTTTGCATCTCCTCAGAACGGTCAATCAATTCTTACATTGTTATTGATTATTAGTTTCATTATGATAATTATGATTAACTCAATCCATTGGCTGTGAAATAAGTTTCATTATGATCATACTGTTGAAAAAGGTATTAATATTTTCTGTATTTTTTTTTTGCTTCATTCTATGTATTTCATTCTTACATTGCTATTGATTATTTTATTAAAATAATAAAATGATGTCCATAATGAAATAGCATATATTTCTGTTCATTTCAAGGAAGCTTTCATTACTATAGTTATCAGCCACAACGAGCAAAAGCAGGGAAGGACGAGCAAAGAAGGGAAGTGATAACTCTAGGAATTAGAGTTATTTTAGGCATTTCTAGGCTTATAGTTGACTAATCCAAAGGTTTAAATGTTTATTTTTCTGTTTTATTTGTTCAACTTTTGGTTCTTGTGATACACTATGCTAAGATTTATTTTGTGTGTTATTTCTGTAGTGTTTATGAAGAAAATTAAATAAAAAAAGGCTTGATTTGTGTCTAAGGTACATTGGTGTGAACTGCAGGAATTGTGAAGAAAAATGTTGCAGCATTGCTACAGTAAAATTTGGCACAGGCAGTTTATGATGACATCAGCGCATGACTCAACAAGAAAAATAAAATAAAGTACACGAAGATGAGTGCTATGCACATGTCATTTGTTGCCTAAACCAATCACCTGGTGACACAATAGTGTCCTTGCTTGGTGCCCTAAAAAAAAAAAAAGTGCCGCCAAGAGGGAAGAAAAAAGTGTTGGAAACCGAATCAAATTCGGATGCGGAAGCGTGGCGCGGGGGGGGGGGGGGGGGGGGATCAAGTATAACAAAAATTTTTATAAAACTTTTGAGATACTCTATAGATTATATTAATTTATGCATGAATAAATTAATCACATTAATTTATATATCAAGAACTCAATTAGGAAAAATACCTGGAGGCCGACACGGATGATAACTTGAGTTCTTTGACCACAAACGATCCTTGCTCCAAAGTCTTGTGTTTAGAAAACCAAAGTCTTCCACGTCAATTCCTTGAATCTACGTAGACATGTGTGTGGGCACACTCGAGACTAAAACGGGTTAAATCAAACACTCGAATTTTTCACAAACACCAACGCATGTACGATGTGGAAATTTTTTGAGAGAAAAATTTTTTCCTTCTCTCTATAACAGGGATTTCGGACAGCCCCTCTGAGTTAGATTAAAAAATTGTCGCGCGTAATTTTTCATCATATCTTATTTATAGAGTAGAAGTCTAACTTCTAGAAGGAATCAAATCTCTCTCTCCTATTTGAATTTTGAACAAAAATTCTCCTTTACCTTATCCTTGTGTGGCCGGCCAACCCTAGGGTTTTTACCCTATGTGTGGCGCCAATCTCAGATAGGGAAGGAAGAAAAAATCATCATTTATCATGTAGTCCAATTTTAATTCAAATTCAAATTCGAATTTAAGTCAAACTTAAATTAATTTGAATTCTAAATTGAACAACTTATCAAATAAGTTTAAAAGACTGAATTTAAATTATGTTCATGATTCAAATTCAAATTTAAATAATCACATTATTTAAATAATAATTAATTCTCAATTAA